GGGGAAAGGGAATTTCTCAAAATAGACAACGTCTTTTCAGAATTAAACCTGCAGTATTATTAATCTCTGCATTATTGATCTTCAGAGGGCCCCTCCTCTCCCTGGCACACCTTTCTGAGATGGCCTCAAACTTGCTATGTAGCCAAGAATACCTTCAACTCTTGATCCTCCTGCTTCTACCTCCCAGAGTCCTTCCTGATACTGTTCCTTTCATATTGCTTATTAGACTTATCATCCCCCCCACACATAGACACCCTACCCCCCACTTCTGCAACCCAGAAAACAACAAAAAACAAAAACAAAAACAAACCTTCCATTTGGTATTTTCTTTCCTATTGTCCTCATTCTTGCCTGAATTTGATCATGCATTCATCATTTATCAAGTGTCTATTATCAGCCAGGCCCTGACCCCTGCTCCCAGGGAGCTCACATACAATACTAACTGGAGTTGTTGCGGAGCCCTATCAACAGACTCCACGCTTTAGCAAACGATTTGTATTTCCAGAAGCTACCAGTATCTGCCATACAGCAGGCACTAAAAATGTTTGTTGTATGACTAGATTGCTTTATTGAGCTTTTTAAAAAAATTCATAAATATTTTAATATGAATCTTCAAGGTCTCATTTTCTTTCCTTTTTAAAATACAAAAGCAATACATGTACAATGCAAAAATAACATACAAAGGTATACATTTCAAAACTCAATTCCCCAGGCTCCTATATCCCATTTTTTGAAGTGACTATTATGGTGTTATATGTATTTTTTTCAGAACTGACCTATGCCAGTAACAAACAGTCTCTCTCTCTCCCTCCCTCCCTCTCTCTCCCACCCCCTCTTCCTCTCTCTCCCTCTCTGGAACAAGTTCTTTGACATTTGCTGACTAGCTTTTTAACATTCTTATCTAGTGGTTTTCAAAGTGTGGCCCTCAGACTAAGAGAATCGACATGATCTGAGAATGTGTAAGAACTGCCAGTTCTCAGGCCCATTAAGACCTCCTGAATCCCAAACTCTGGAAGCAAGCGAAGCAATGTGCTAATAAGCTGTCTAGTTGACTGATGCAGTCGAAGTTAAGAACTATGGTTCTGAGTTAGTACACATCATGTTTGTCTTTCTGGGTCTGGGGTACCTCACTCAGAATGATTTTTTTCTAGATCCATCCATTTGCCTGCATGCCAGTTACCTCGCTCAGCCTTGAAGCATAGGGAGGAGCTCTGCCCTGGGTCAACACGACATGCCAGGCTTAATTCAGCCCATGGCAGGCCTGCCCCTCTCCCCATTGTTTTTTCGTGACAGGATTTCTCTATGTAGCTTTGGAGTCTATCCAGGAACTCACTCTGTAGACAAGATTGGACTCTAACTCGCAGAGATCTGCCTATCTCTGCCTTCTGAGTGCTGGAATTAAATGCGTGTGCCACCACCTGGCTCTGCCCCTTTCTTAATGGAGACAGATGTAGATAGGGAGGGGTGGAGATGGCATTGCGGGGGAAGGGAATGGGAGGAGAGAAGGGAGGGAAAATTGTAGTCAGTATGTGAACTAAATAAAAAAATGTTAATTTTTTTTTTAAAAAGAGAACTATGGTTCTAATACAATCAAGCCAGGTTCTTTGGTTTTGTTACATCTCCTTTATCCATGGCAGACACTGCTATCTTGTCTCAGTTTTATCACCCAGACTTTCAAAATGCTCTCCTTGTCCTTTCAGCTCTGACACTATCAATCTGTCAAGCTCTGAAAACCTTAATTCCTCCCTAGAAGTGCTCCCACTGCTGTTGTGCACACTACTCCTCCAGTCTCTTCCCCGAAGTCCACACCACACCCAACCCCTCCACTGTGCACCTGAACAATATCTATACAATGTCCTCAGGGGTCGGAAACATTTATCTTCTCCCTACAGCCACGAATGCATTTATCTCCTCTACTCCTTGAGCGAAGCACAGACCTGGAATTTTAAGAGCTGCTGGTTAATGTCTTCACACTGAGAAGAAACACTGGGAATGGTTTCCAAGGCCTCACACACACTAGTTATGCTCTCTGTCACGACTTAGCCCCTCAGTTCTAGCAAATTCTTAATGAATAGAGAGCATGGACTGTTCTCTAACCTTGGACAGATTCAGTTCTCAGGAAACTGCTTAGCAAAATGAGAAGGGAAGACCAATGCCTGTTTGCAAACTGAATATAATTTTATGGTATTTTCCAAACTGGGTGTGGTGGCACAAGCCAGAAGCCCAGCCCTTGGATAGAGACAGGAGGGTCAGGAGTTAAGGCCAGACTGGGATACAAGAGACCTTATCTCAGAAAAATGAACAATTCCCACATCGGACTATCAGTTCATTATATTCTCATATTGCTTTGCTTACAATCTAATGTGGCAATTTTTCGGTATGTCACAGTTAAATAGTGTTCCCTAGTCAGCTAGTAAACTGCTTGAAAGGGAATCATGGTCTGTTCGGCTCTGAATCTTCCACAATAGCCATTACCATACCTTATACACAATAATAATTCACTGTAAAATCAGGAAATCATTTCAAATAATTAGTTAAGAAGTTTTATTAGAGTCTTTCGGTAGCTAACGATGCTTGCCTGGCACCTTGAATTCAATCCCTGAAACCCATATAAAGGTAAGTGGCTAGAACTGACTCTGCAAAGATGTCCTCTGACTTCCACATGCACAGCATAGCAAGCAAGCCCCCTCATAAACTTGAAAAGAACTTCATGTGCCTGAAATCCCAGTATTCCAGAGGCTGAGGTCAAAAGATCATGAGTTTGAGGCTAGAGTGGCCTACGAAAAGAGGCACTGCAGAAAAACATAAAATAATCGGGCTGGCAAAATGGCTTAGCTGTTGAAGGCCCTTTCCCCCAGCCCTGATGACCTGATTTCAAACCCCAGGACCCGCATAGAAGAACTGACTCTCCAAAATTGTCCTCTAACCCCCACGTGCATGCTGCGGGGCACATGTGATCTAATACGGGCAGAGGCACAAATAGATAAATAAATCCAAAAACCAAACCAACCAAACAAAAACAGCAGCAGCTTCATTTATGAAGAAAATCTCTATGCATATCTGCTGTCCCCAAAAGGGTCTTGTGAATATTATTAATTTTATTATAAATACCAAGTATTGATTTACAATAAAAACTATGATCATGCTGATGTCACCTAGGGTAATAAGTAGAATGAAAAAATGCATCTCACATGGACTTTAGTACAGACAGACTAAACTGTCAAAAGCTTCCTGTACTCTCCTACCGTCATAAAATAAGAACTTCCCTGTAGGCTAAAGAAGCACAGATCAGCTCCACTGTTGGGAAGACTTCTAGATGCAAGACCATTATCTGCAAAATTTTAAAAACAAAAGGATAGACTAAGGACGAGTGAGGATAATCAGAAGATAAATCTAAAGGGAGGGACAGCAAAGAGAAACTGAAGGACACGAGGACTAACAGAAGGACAGCAAGAGTACATCACCCTTGGAGTAAGAACCAGGAGCAGGGGGACTTCAGTATGTACCAAGGGTCTACTAGGAGCCTGTCATCTAGGGGTGCAAACATGGTGTCTGACCTCGAGGGGAGAACAGACCTGAAAGTAAGGCACACGCCTGCAGCCTGTTGTGCATTTTTAAATTCTAGTTGGGAAAATTAAGTAGGGAAGGCTTTCCAAGGAAGGTGAACATTTTTTGGAGCCTTTGAAGTGCGGAGGAAGATTTGCTAAGGAAGAAAAGGGCAGTTTGAGCTAGTTATTTTGGGGGCAAAAATCAACACATTTTTATAGTTGTTCATTTGGGACTCAAATCAAAGGAGGTGTCTCAGATTCCGCATCACCCGTGTCAACGCTTTCCCTTTTTATCTTAAAGCCTAAAAATGTTCAAGAACAGCTCTGGAGCAGAGCCAAAAAGTCCCCAAAGGCGGTGAGTACTGGCTAAATCTGCTCTGTCACCTCCCCAAGTCCAGCCAGTCCAGCTAGTCTAGTCCTAGCAGCTAGAAAAGGAAGGCTAATTATACCTTGGGGGCTGGCAGGTGGGGGCTGGGGGGTGGGGGGGATGCAGGCAAAGCTTCCTATGTTCTGTCAGAGAGCCACCAGGGGAGAGCCTCCCTGCTTAAGCCAGGACTCAAGTCTACCTGTGTGACAGGGAGGAGAGCTCTGCAGAGAGGAAAAAAAGCTTCAAGGAAAAGAAGGGGGTAAGCATTGGATGGGAAAGTAGTGAGGTACAAAGGTGAACGATCTTAATAAAACGCTTAGCAAGATACTGGCACAAAGCGAGTATTTGGGAGCGAGCCAGCTCGTATTAACATCGCAATTGTTATCACAATAGCGCTTCACAGTACTGACAAGAAGATAATTCGATTCATAGCCCACTTCTAAAAGCAACTCTAGAAATGACAAGAGTATTTCCAAAAAATTTAAAGATACAAGATCAAATTCCACCAGCCCTGGCTGTGAAAGCCCTAAAGCCTCTGAGTTAGAGAGCTGGCCGTGTCACTTGTCAGTCCCATGACCTTGGACACGGTATTTCACCTCTCAGTGCCTCAGTTTCCTTGACTACAAAGTGGGCTTTATGCAAACCAGGGTCGTGGGGTCCCAGGAGAGAGGGAGACCTCAGTGGCTTTGCGACGGAACCCACTGAAGGCGAGTCAAGGCCCCTGTCAAAACTCTCTGGGCTGTGAGGGGCAGCGGAGTAGGTGGATGCTCAGATCTAGGAGCTCCGATCTGCGCTGTGGGAGCCGGGAAGACGATGACGCCCCCAGAGGGTCCCTGCGACAGAGGGTGCAGGCCTCCGGCGGGAGGCTCAACCCCAGCAAGGCACCATTGCTCCCCGCGGGCTAGGTGCCGGCAGGGGCGCGGGAGGCCAGGCTGAACGTGCAAGGCGCCGGGGTTTCGGAGCAGGCCGACTGCAAGGACCCGGGGCCTGCCGTGCGGCCACCGGCCCGCAGCGACCAGGGGAGCGACAAGCGGGTGTACCGCGCCGCGCGCCCTCCGCCCGCTGTGGCGGAGGCGCTCACTCACCTGAAGCGCTAGCGCGGGCCGTCAGTCAACAGCAGCCGCAGCAGCAGCGGCAGCAACGAGGGGCGGGGGAGGCGCTGCGCTGCGCACGCGCGCTAAGGATGCCGGAGGTTTACGCATGCGCAACGCGCTCACCTAACCTGGGAACTACAGAAAAGATGGTGGCAAGGTCTGGAAAGCCTGACAGCGCCATCTTGACTGTAGTTTTTCTTCTAGCGGTCTCAACTGCCTAGGGAGATGTGAAAAGCTCAATCTGCACACCAGTTTACCTATTCCTCTTAGTTAAATTACTAGTAAGTCGTTAAGGGCCATGGCATAGTTGTTCTAACAAGGTTTAAAACTACACGCAAGATCAGCTGGCACTCCTGAGCTAGAATTCGAGTCTCAAGAGTTCAAATTCCTAGTCCTCTTTCATCTGTTAACGGCGGCCATATCATTTGCTTTCTTGAGTATGAGCTAGTTACTCTACAAAAAGCGACTGTACATACTAAGTTAAAGACAACAATTAAAGATTTTCATTGTGAATTACGTGTGTGTGCTGTCATGCATGAATGTAGCAGGTGTCCAACTAGGCCAGAGGTTGCAGATTCCCCCTAAAGCTGGAGTTACAGAATGTTGTGAGCCACCAAATATGGCGGCTTAGACGCGAACTCCATCCTTGCAAGAATATGCGCACTCTTAGCCACTAAGCTATTTCTCCAGACCGGAATCACAATATACATGCAGCCTGTACATGCCAGCCGCTTTTATGTCAACGTGACATAAACAAAGCCATTTGGGAAGAGAATCTCAGTTGAGAAAATGCCCACCAAATTGGCCTGTGTGGTGTATTTTCTTGATTGATGGCTGATGAGGGAGGGCCAGCTTACTGTGGGCAGGTGGTCCTGGACGGCATAACAAAACAGACTGAGAAAGCCATGAGAGCAAACTGGTAGACAGCACTTTTTAACCTGTGGGTCGCATGTCACATATTGACATTATGATTCATAACAGCAACAAAATTACTTAAGAAGTAGCAACAAAATAATTTTATGGTTGGGGTCACCACAAGACATGGAACTGTATTAAAGGGTCACAGCATTAGGAACGTTGAGAACTGCTCTATGGCCTGATAACAGTTCCCACCATCTTCCCTCACTGATGAACTGTTACCTAGAAAGTAAAACAAAACAAACTCCTTCCCCAAGTTAATTTTGGCCATGTTGTTTTATCACACTAATAGAAACTCCAAGATATCATACTAGCCTAGAATTTCGTATGTAGTCAATGTACAGGGCATATACTCTCTCAAGAGCTTATTAACCTATTATCTTATTAATACTAAGTATAATTAACTAAAGATCATTATTCTTGGAGAACGAGAACAAACAAATATAATCAAACTTTTTTGTTTTTGAGACAGGGTTTCTCCATTTAGTAGTGGCTGTTCTGGAACTATGTAGACTAGGTTGGCTCCAAACTCAGAGATCCTCATTTTTAATCAAGCACTATTCCCAAACCAATCTGAATGAAGACAAAACTAATAGTCACAGCCTTTTATTATATGATTTATATTTAATTGTTAACATTTACTAAGTACTGAACTGGTACCAGTTCACCCTCACTACCTATGTATCCTTGGCTAAATTAGGAAATATTTCCAAAGTTCTATAAATGACAAAACACAAAAAAGCCTCTCTTGAAAGCCGTGGTAAGCAGTAACAATTCTGAGAACTCAGTAGGTAATGCTGAGATGCTGGCCTTGAATCTGCTACATAGCCAAGGAAAGCCTCCAACTTCTGATTTTCTTGCTTCTACTTCTTGAGTGCTGAGATCTAAGTTTTTAGTGTTTTGGTTTTTTCTTTAATGTTCTAGCCCTTTTCAGTGGTTGAAGACACCCAACATATGACCCATCTTTAAGTTTGATGAACACTTACACTTACATATAAACAAAATGTGACAGGATGTAATGAAATGGAGGAAGGCATAACCACCTTTAAAGACAGATAATTTATCCTTTCCATAGAGCAAACCAATGAGATGAAGCTATGCTCCAAAGTTTATAGTCTTTGTTACACTTCTCTGTTTTTGCAACAATGATCAATAAGAGTCTTTTTCTCTTAAATGCTGACTTTCTTGGAGGGTGTCTGAAATTTCCTTCCTTGTTTTACTTTGGAAAATATAAACCTCAATCTTCAATAATTAGTCATAACTTTAAAATTCTATTTCTAATCCAGACTTTGCTGCACAGGTCTCCACCTGCATATATTGAGCAGTCTGCTTGAATTCTCCATGTGGTATTCCAAATTAGACATCAGGTTTCCCACCTCATTAACTACTGCCGACTCATTTTTAAGTGTTCAGCAATAAACATACTGTTTTAGGCTTTTACTATTTAAAATCCTTAGAGTGTCCTTAAAACACAGATTCTAATATTCTTCCAATGTTCTAGAAAAGAGGTCAAGTAACTGTTCCTCAATCACAGGAAATGATGACACAGGATTTTTAAAACACAGTTTACAGGGCTAGTGTTCTAGGCACTATTCAGTAACTAGAACAACTTTTAAAAAATAAAATACAGGGACTAAAGATGCAGCTCAGTGAGAATGCTTGCTTAGTACACACAAAGTCCTGGGGTCGATTCTTAGGGGGCAAAGGGAAAATTTCGAGAGGAAAAGAAAATTAAATAATCTAAGCCCTTTCTTGCCATAAACTTCGATTGAAGGAGGTCAATTCAATATTAAAACTAAAGCATAATACAGACATTAGGACACTTCACAAAAAGGGCATTTGGTGAAGTGATTCACATATGTCCTTATGCAACATTCCACGCTCTGCCTTTACTACCACACTTGAAAACTTTACCTTCATTCTTTTATGACAAGAACCCAACTTGACCCCTGAAACATTTTGTTAAGGTTGGTTCTAAAGGTCCTTGGGTTGTTTTGAAAACTTGACAATATCTTCATGGGATGCAAAGTGCTGACCATGCGGACATTTAAAGCAATGGGCCAGTGGCTCTGAAGGTCATTCCAAGCATCTTGCATATTCCTACCGAAAGTGTCTCTAACAAAATTCCTCTGGGCCATACATACATGCTGTCACTCAGAAACAGGGAAAGTGCTCTGCAGCCGGAAGGTTCCAGCTTTGAGGAAGGCTGGGAGGTTGTCGTGTGTGGGGGCACTCTTCCCTGTTCTCTCCCTGGCAGCTCACAGCAGAACTACAGGTAAGGTCACTGACCAGACCCTGATCACTGTGTGGTAGATGAGTTCTGCACGTGGAGTTTGAGCAGTTTTCGAGCAGGTGATGAATCTAATTGTTCCATGCTTCTTTTCTCTGCAAAGGAAAGGAGCCAACAACCACATTTCAGTTATTGGAAACTCCATGTGAATACTGTGCCAGACAGTGAAGGGCAGTAAATGACACATAAGAAAGTCTTTGTTCTCAAGGAGATGGCAGACAGTAGGAAAGTCAGTATGGTGTGATAAATAAGAAAACGGATAGAGGAAGCCAGGAAAAACTACGGGAAAGCATCTGTAGTTCTACTTCATGCATTCTTGAAAACTGAAGCAGCCAAAAAGCAGAGGGTATCTTCATGGAGTACTTTTATGAATTTACACTTAGGCATGTCTACCAACATTCAACTTACTCTAGGGAGTAAAACAAGTCATATGGTTTAAATCTAAGGATCTTCTGCCTGGAGAGGCAGTATATAACCCAAACGGGGCACAGGCAACCCTGAGCGCCACTTCCCTCGAATGATGCACTTACTGAGCTGTACTGACACCTTCTGGAGGTACTGAGTACTTTCATCCATGAAAGCTTGCAGCTGCTTCACTGATCCTTGCAGCTCATCCATCTGCAGACAGAAAGGTCAGTGTGAGCTGCAGAACTTTCAATGACTCTCCATACTGCCAGGCAAGCTCCTGCTTTGGAGCTTTAGGCTAGCTTTTCCAGTCTGGAATACTTATGCCAGACAGTCTCTCTTGGCACCCACTGAACCATAGTCCACATTTCCTCAGCTTGCTCCATGCCCCAGGAGATTGACCCCCCAAACCTCTACCAACAAGATGCCAAGTCCTCTAGGTTTGGTTTAAGTTGACAACTAAGGAGCTAATAGCCACTGTAGGTAAAATAGCAGCCCACTGTTCCTCCTGTATTCTTTACCCCCTTTACTGTTTTATTAGCACTTAACATTATATATTTACTTAATTTTTTTCCTGTTTTCCCAAGGTAGAGAGGTTTGACATCCTTATTACACATCTTTTAACTTCCAAAGATTTATGCCATAGCTTGCATTTGCACTGTCCTCCTGAGGCTTACAAGCCTTAAGAGGCTTGGTTGCTGCTACTAAAGTGTCATCACCAGGAGGCGATGAACCTTTTTAGAAGTAGTTTTGGTTTCTGGGAGTGTGAAGTGGCTATTAGGACCTGACCCCCACCCCCACCTTGTTACCATTATCATAACAGGAGTAATCTCTCTGCCATATGTTCCCACCACAATCTATTACATGGTCCCAGTACAAATCAACAGGGTTTAAACAACCACGGACTGAGCCAGGTGGTGGTGGTGCACACCTTTAATCCCAGCACTTTGGGAGGCAGAGGCAGGTGGATCTCTGAGTTCGTGGCCAGCCTGATCTACAAAGTGAGTTTCAGGACAGGTTCCAAAGCTACACAGAGAAAACCCTAATGCAAAAACAAACAAACAAAAAAACCCACAAAAAACAGCAATAACAAAACAAACAAAAAACCCAAACCCACCACGGACTGCAATAAACAGTCAAAACAATCCATTCCTCCTTATAAGTTACTTCAGGTATTCTGTCATGTCATAATGCTAAAAAAAGCTGACAAGCCTAGAAAGCTGGGTAACCCACATAACAAGCCTAAAACACTGACCACCAACTCCATGCAGGCAAAGACTTGGTTCTGATTCCGTAAGATTTCCTGGTAGTCGGGCTTTGTGTTAAGGACTTCCTTCTGGGAAGACCCAAGATAAGTCGCAGGATCCACTTTGATCTCAGTGATTTTGGTTTCAGATGATCCTCTAAAAGCAACAACAACAAAAATAAATTAAAATAAGGAGTTTTCCTAAAATTTATAATCATTTTCTGGAAATGATAT